TGCTTGAAAACTTCATTGTAATTTGGTCCTGACATTCAATGCTGATAAATTAAAGAGAATATCAGACTTGAGCAATGCCATCACTGATACCATATATGGTGGAACATGCAAAAGATGCAGCATTCACATAACAAATGTTGCTCCTAACTGTTTCCATTATGAGGGTTTTACAAAATTAAAGCTACATATTTGCTTCTAAGGAAAGTGTATTTGTTCACTGTATCCCAAAATAGCTCAGTTTTCAACTGAGTTATAGATAAATATTTGAGATTCGTGCATAGACCACATTGAAAACGTAGCCTGAAAAGGGAAAACATTGTGAAGCCACGTTTATCTGAAAGTAATCACAGTGAGATAATGTATATATCTTCAACTCAGGCAAGAACCATTGTGCTTTTTGTGATGTTAGAAGTGTGGCAGAAATCTGTAATCAGCAACAACAGATGCTATTCTGTGTCTATGTTTGTAAACATCAAATATCCGAAGAAATCTGATAGACGTCAGTACAGGATTGATCATGACTCATTGAAGCTTGTTCCTCAAATCTGCCAAGACATGAATCTTCTTGTTTGCCTAATAGAATTGATCATTTTTCAATTAACTTTTGTAATATGATTTTAGTGGTAATTCCAATTTATGGAAATAAAAATTTTCCAAAGAAAATCTCAGAGAAAAGTAGACATGGTATAAGCTAATCCTTGATACACATGAAGCCTGTCTTGCAGTTATTTCTAGATGTTGGTAATTGAGATAGTCCTGGGCAATCATCAGTGATATAAATGGATGCTTTTCTGTTAGATGAGTAGAATTATCCTGATTTAATTAGCTAGTGATCTGGCTTGTGCATATTTATGGCCTTTATCCAATTTGCTAGCAAAGGTTAGTATCTTCTGATATTAGTTACGGTATCAAAGAAAATGCATAGCCCAGACTGAGTCTGATGTTTCTTGCAAGTGCCTGACCAAGAATATGAAGTGATTTTCCAAATGTGAGGCCTAATGGGTTTTGACTAGACTTATGTACAGCACAAAATTAATGATTCAGTATGAATAAGAGTAATTTAAAAGCTGTCTCTTTTGTTTGATATTGAAAATGTATTTGTGCAAGCAAAATCAAATTCTGAGCAGCTCAATTTGGTATTTTGTATTTAAAGTGCATAATAGTAAGCCTGTATCATGTGATTTTGGTTTCTGCCCTTTTACATAACTGGCTGAGAATTTCAAAACAGGACAATAAAGAATCACAAATAGCAAATGGTCTTTTTATATCAAAATGCCCTTCTATACACACATGAGTCTTTGGGCTGTTCTTTTAAGATAATTTTAAACAGAGGTCTTTTTGTATGTGCAGTATTAAGCAATAAGAGATAGCAAAAGCGCATAATCAACAGTCCAAAATGAATACTAGAGAATAACCTGTATGGACTAACTTTGGATTTCCTGGAAGAGGAAATTTAGCGCTTCTTTTCCCAGTTTTGCTTCCTCCTAATACCTCTTAAATTTATACTTTCCTGGTACACTTTTCTACGGCACATCTTGTTTTTTGTGTGTGAAGCGAACTTCTGTAAATTGTATTCATCTTTTGAGTCCTATGTAGGGAGGGAAAGATGTACCCGTTTCCATTTTCAAATATTTTCTTTTTTCACCTGTGACTGGAAGAAGGCTCTGAATTTAGAAACTGAAGACATTGCTTGCAACTTGCAGCTAGCAGACCAGGATTGAATTTGCTGAGCTTGAGGAAGAAAGTTGAAACAAAATCCGCATCAGTTGCAGGAAAAAAAACATTCTTGATATGTTTGGTAACTGCAGGAATGAGTTTACATACTTGACAAATGACTCAGATGCAGAAATATCACCCAAAAGGGACTCACCAGGGTCTACTGACTAATCCTTAAGTTCTTTAAATTATTTTCTTATTTAATCTGGTATTATGCCTACTTGGAATAAAAAAAATGGCCCAAATTCAGTGAAACAATTAACTTGAGATAACCAAGTACTTAAATGTTCTTGACATGTTTTTTGCGTATGAAAGACTGATCCAAAGGCTGTTGGGGTTTAAGTTATAATAGCACAGAGTGAGCATTTATGACATGTATTAATTCCACTGCACTGATGACTGAAACCTGCAGAGCTGTAGTCCTAGCTCTTCCACATGTTTCTGAACTGCAAAGGGAAATTATATAACTATAAGGGGATTCAGTACACTTTGTATATTTCTTCTAAAGGTGTAAACCCTAGTAAGCTAGTTACCAAATTACCAGATCTCAGTTTTTCCTGGGGAAACAAAGGGAATAAAAGGCATTAGCTCCAAGGAATGAGGTTCTCAGTTTACCACCATCCTTCAGAGGTGATAATAATTAAACACTGTCACAGCTTCCATAGTTCCATGGTAATACCTCCATTATCAGAGTCTTCAAATAAATACTGACTACTTTATGAGCAGCCCACTGTTACTACCATTCACAGAGTTATATACAGAAATGGCCATAGAATCATAGAATGGTTTGGGTTGGAAAGGACCTTAAGATCATCTAATTCCAACCCCCCTGACATGGGCAGGGGTGCCTCACTCTAGATCATGTTACCTAAGGCTCTGTCCAGCCTGGCCTTGAACAGTGCCAGGAATGGAGCATACACAACTTCAGATACTGGAAGGCTGCTATGAGGTCTCCACGCAGCCTTCTCTTCTCCAGGCTGAACAGCCCCAACTTTCTCAGCCTGTCTTCATACAGGAGGTGCTCCAGTCCCCTAATCATCCTCGTGGCCTTCCTCTGGACTTGTTCCAACAGTTCCATGTCCTTTTTATGTTGAGGACACCAGAACTGCGCACAATACTCCAGGTGAGGACTCACAAGAGCAGAGTAGAGGGGCAGGATCACCTCCTTCGACCTGCTGGTCACGCTCCTTTTAATACAGCCCAGGATACGGTTGGCTTTCTGCAGCAAGTGCACACTGAAGCTGGCTTATGTTCAGTTTCTCAGTGACCAGCAACCCCAAGTCCTTCTCCGCAAGGCTGCTCTGAATATCTTTTCTGCCCAACCTGTAGCTGTGCCTGGGATTGCCCCAGCCCAGGTGCAGGACCTTGCACTTGGCTTAGTTAAACTTTTTGAGGTTGTCATTGGCCACCTCTCAAGTGTGTCAGGGTTCCTCTGGATGGCATCCCTTCCCTCCAGTGTATCATCTCAATCACACAGCTTGGTGTCATTGGAAGGCTTGCTGAGGACGCACTCAATCCCACTGTTCATGTCACTGACAAAGATGTTGAACAAAACTGGTCCCAACTCTGATCCCTGTGGGACACCATTCGTTACTGCTCTCCAGCCAGACATTGAGCCATTGACCACAACTCTTTGCATGCAGCCATCCAGCCAGTTCTTTATCCACCGAGTGGTCCATCCATCAAATTGATGTCTCTCCAATTTAGAGACAAGGATGTCATGCAGGACAGTGTCGAACGCTTTGCGCAAGTCCAGGTAGATGACGTCAGCTACTCTACCCGTCCATCAGTTCCGTAGCCCCATTATAGAAGGCCACCAAATTGGCCAGGCAGGATTTGCCCTTAGTGAAACCATGCTGGCTGTCACCAATCACCTCCTTGTTTTTCATGTGCCTAAATTGTTTTCATTGTGCCTTTGTTTTTCATGTGTCATGTTTTATTAAAAATCAGATTAGAGTTTCCAGCCTTAATAGCTATGCATTTTATAATACTTTTGATAGGGATAGCAGAAAACATTTACATGGAAGCACTAATTTTGTGTTAAATTATATAATGATGTCTGTGAAGTGCATCCAGCTAAAGAAGTATTACCAAGTTGAATATTTTGAGGTGTACTTTTAAACCCATTTTCAGGTATCATTCCTTTTACTAGTGTGCCTTGACATCTACTTGAAACGTGTCCAAATCCATAGAGAAGAACAAAAGCCACTAGCTTCAATTTATCCATCTTCCCTTTTCTCATGTTTCATGCCATCCACCTCTCCAAAATCATTTTGGTTGCTAATTACAGGATTGGCAGACACCGTGCTTCATGGCTTGCAGAAAGGGCATATGTCACTGGCAAACACAGAGCTGGAGTTTCATGAATTCAATTCAAATGCTTACAGAAAACAACTTTTTTCTTTATCCCTTTTGTTTCTTACTTGTTGCAGCATCTTCATGTAACTGCGTGTTTTGCAAATATAATTTTCAAGTTGACAGTATCCTTCTAGTTTGGAATTTAGGGGGATTTCTAGTATTTAGTTTTGATTCTGTTGGTTCATTCTTTTCATGTGACTGAGATTAATGTGAACGCATGAGTACAGGTGAAATAATTTCTTCAGCTGTGGAAATGTCATAGAAGATTGCATCGCTATAACAAAACAGAAAAAAAATGAGAACTGTTACTTAATAACTTATTATTACAATGATTTAGTACTAAACTTTGATCTTTAGGTACTTTCTGTCCTAGTCAGTACATTCTATACAAGTTTTGCCAAGTAAACTTTTCCCCTCTGTAACGTTAAGCCCTGACAAATTTGTCATTTAAACAGCTTTTCTAATTGAAACAGATCCTGTGCCTATGAAGTGAATAATAAAATTTCACTTTGCTCTGGCAGAATAAAACATAAACTTGTGAGATGCAAAGTGGTGTGTGGTTTAAAGTTAAGAGCAAAAAGCTGCTGTGTATTTTTCTTACTTGGACAACATACTTCTGAAGTTGTCCCAGGATTTACAGACATGCTTTTGCTATTTCTTTTAAGTGTGTTGACCAGCCTTTATGCTTCTGTCAGTTAACCTCAAGTAATTCAACTAGAAACAATACATTAACTTGATAAGGACATCTGTTGATGTCAGCTGGTTCTAGCAACATCCTGACCATTTTATGTTAATAACTGTTTTTATCTCCTATGCACATATTTAAGTCAGTATTTATTAAATCAGTTTTGCAGATCATGACAGGTAGTTTGCTAGTTTGAAACCTTGTCTTGATAATTACATATTGAATTCTTCTTTATATTTAGGATATGATGCTTCAGCTGTTTCGGGGACTGGATTTTCTGCATTCACATCGTGTGGTGCATCGGGACCTGAAACCCCAAAATATCCTTGTAACCAGCAGTGGGCAGATAAAGTTAGCTGACTTTGGCCTTGCACGAATCTACAGTTTTCAGATGGCTCTAACATCAGTGGTAAGTTTTTTGAGGCTTTTATTTTCCGTTTAATGCACCAGTGTACTTTACTCTTTATGTTCCCGGCTTTTTATCCCATATTATAATGCTGCTTCTAAAATTATCTCTGCAACTGAAGTTACTTGTGTCTCTAAACACAGCTGTTTTCCAGAGAGCATTGAAGTTCTGGTGATTACTTTGTACAAGTAATCAATTACTGATTAGTGGTTCTAAATTAAATCATAACTAATTACTGAAGGATAGGGATATGCTAGTTTTCAGAAATGCTGTGAGTGTAGCTTCTGTCATGATACTGACATTTTTCGCATATTAAACCAGACAGGTAGGGTGAAAGTTTCTGAAGTATCCATTTATTTTAAGATAAAAGTCTTGCTGATCCCCAAGTATCTTGCCTGAAAAAATGTACAGATATACATGAAAATGCCACACTGTCATGCCTCTGATTTTCTACCTCTGTTAATATAGGTTTGATGCTTGCTCCCATATGTTACTGGATGATTTCAAATAGTGCTGTGCTGGAGGCAGCTATTTCCCAAGGCAGTTGTTAAAAGAGCACCTCCAGTATCACTAGGCCCCCTGCCACTGTTGCCCCTCTCCCAGCAGTTCTCCTGGTTGTCCTTGGCTTGTATATGAGCTCACTCCCAGAAGGTCTGGCCCTCTCCTGCCTTAATGCTGGTGCAGAAGCCCTGCCAGCTTCTCGCTTTTTGACACCGTTGTCATGCTTGCTGGCCTTGCCCCCAGAATCAGCTGCTGTTTGCTTGCCACAGCATCTCTGACGTGTACTGAAGAGTAGCCATGCTGCATGTGTGTTGGGTGTCATTTGATTTTGCTCTCTCAAGAACTTTTTCATTTCCATTTCCTATTTTGAGTATCATAACTACTGTTGCAGTATCACTTACAGTAAAGACAGAAAAGGGAGAACTGCTGAGAAAAGAAACTGAAAGGAGCCCACTTCGTGTTTTACATTGTCTTGTAGAAATCAGGCTGGCTCACAGTATAAAATCATAGAATGATTTGGGTTGGAAAGGACCTTAAGATCATCTAGTTCCAGCCCCCCCACCATGAGCAGGGCCTCCTCACCCTAGACCTTGGCTCTGTCCCACCTGGCCTTCCATTATTATTAATAGTTACTGTAAGAGTCTTCCCGTCATTGTGTGACATAACTGTGACAGCCTAGGTTCTGGCTTCAGTGTGAATGAAATCAGGAAGCAACAGCAAATGATATCATCATCTTACTAAACACAGGAATGTATCGTTGTCACATAAAACATATGCAGACTTGTGTTTTGGGGCTGTTTTTTTTTTCATTGCCTGTAGGTTGTAGCCTAATCCAAAGCTGAAAGGTTTTTTTTGCTGAGGTCAGTCAGGATTGATCATTTTGTAACTCAAAAGAGAGCTTTGAAGAAAATGAGAGAAAAGTTGTTCATGAATTGCTGCAATTTTTCATTTCCCATTTATCACTCTGTAACAGCTTCAGCGAGTGTTTCTCTTGATCCATAAAATTCTTTAAGCTAAATCTCCAGTGTTGTATAGCTTCCAGTGGGGCACTTTTTCAGAAGTTCTGCATAAAATGAAAAAATATCTAAGAACTGAGCAGGAGTTTGTCCAGGATCATGTAGCCTGCATAGGAAGGAAGGTCAAAAGACCCAGAAATAGAGTGCATCTACTGAGGCAAAAATATATCAAGACCTGCTTGTAAGAGAACATTGCCAGAATTCCTCTGCAATTGCTCAAGTATCTAATACTTGCATGCTAGAAATCATGCTTCAGAACCCACTAGTTAGTACCCTTGATGCTGCTGTGAACAAGTTGTTCAGACTAAGGAATTGTCCACATGCAAGTTTGGACCATGTTCATACAAGCATGCAACTGTCATTGCAGCTATGCTAAAGAGTATTAAAATAACTGAATTATTCTATGACCGATGGCAAATAAATTATATGGGCATAGGCATGAATAATGTCTTTCACACACCTAGAGCTTAGTTTATCATTATTTTATTAAAAGAAAAAAAGAAGAAGCTATGACCATGGCTTTTTTGAGTTAAAAATCCACTGGTTTTAAAGCACTTAGTCTTTAACACCTTCAAAATCAACTTTTTTTCTCAGTACACTGAAACCTATACGCAAGTGTTGCTTACAATGTGATAACATGGTGTTGTTTTAAATGTCAGTCTTCATTGCTCTTACAGGATGAGTGCTGGTTAGAAACTTTTACTAAATGTGTAAATATGTGTTAGCTAACACAGGGCACCAGTTTTCCTTTTCTGAATGTAACTTTTACCTTTGCCTAGGTGTGCATTTTTTCCTTCTGTCTCCCCTCCATTAAACTCAGGATACCAAACTTTTAAAAACCCCAGAAACTTCAGTTTCTTAAACATATTCTCAATTTTGCTGTCCCCAAAATAGTCTAAACTGTAGTTCTTTGCCAGGCAGTGTGCAAGCTTTCATTGACTTCAGCAGGAGCAGTTAAAGTATATGCAGAAAAAAAAATGTTTCATTATAAAAGACAACACATATCTTCCTATGTATCAATTAATAAAAGTCCTAGCTTGCAAGGATTTGCTTCTGAGCTACACTGAAAAGCGATAGTGCAGACAGTCCAGTGATAAAAGGCACATTGCATGCGCTATCATTGTGATCAGTAGAAGGGCTCTGCAGCATTTCCTTCAGAAGAGAAGCTTACTGCAAGATAAACTACAAGAATCATCTTTTGAAGTATCAGATCATTCCCAAGATGCACCCTCATTCACTGCTCACAAAGAAACCCTTCAGATGGGACAAAAAGAGCTTGCTGTGAAAATAATGCAGTAAAAACTGATTCAACCCAAGTTCTCTGGGCACTGCAAATGGTAACTTCAAAGCAGTCTCTCTCTGATAGCCATTTATTATTTCCACAGTGCTAAAGAATCCTTCTGGCAAATCGGTCATCCTGGAATATTGCTGTCATTTAAAGAAACCTCTCAATATTTCTGTCAGTGAATGAATGAAAGATTCAAACGTGCGCTTGGGGGAGCAGGGTGGAGATCGCTACTCCCAGCCATGGTGAGACTGAGAACTGATACAGGTCTGAAGTAACAGCACTAGAAAGAAGGAGGTCAGGCAGGGGTGTCTCAGATGCTGGGTAGTGGGGCACGCTTTTGGTTTTGTACAAAGTTAGGCTCTTTTTCAAGTGTTGGTCTTGGCCCTTGGGGAAATTTTGAATAGGCTTTGTGATAACAGAGCAGCTCCATAGGACAAAGGAGGTGGATTGATGTGACTGTAATTTTAGAGTTTGGGAGCAAAAGCTAATGAACTGTCACTTTTCTTCCTGATGCAGAAAAATGGGCACTCAGTTCTAACTTTCTATGAGTAAACGAGCAAGTGGCTGTCTGGAAAATCTGAAGCTAGATTGTGAAAAAGCAAGAGCAATAGAAAGAAAAAGCAATAGAAAAATCTATTTTTGTTGACTTCTAAATGCCTTAAAGAAAGGAAATGGAGCTCAATCATGGCACAACAAAGTGCTAAATGAAATAAACGCACACAGTTGTGATCACAGCATCTAGGTGGATCTGAGGCTGTCCAGCTTTTAAATCGGACCTGCATGAGGATCTGAGTGAAACTGTTAATGTTTGTCACACACTCATAATACTTTCTTTGAAAAACATGTGTGCTTTACCTTAGATGGCAGTGCTGCTGATGGGTTTTTTCCCATGAAATGCAAGCAAAAGTGTTTTATGTCTTCCTAGTTTAAAAAATTCACTTGTTTTCGTATTTACTGAAGGGGAAACATCATTTTCTTTGCTAATGCTTTGCATTCCAGAGGAACCTCAACATGCTTGTGAGGTGGGCTGATGCCAACCTCATGAAGTTTAACCATGACAAGTGCAAGGTCCTACGCCTGGGTCGGAGCAATCCCAGGCACAGCTACAGGTTGGGCAGAGAAGAGATTCAGAGCAGCCCTGTGGAGAAGAACTTGGGGGTGTTTTTTGATGAGAAAATGAACATGAGCTGGCAGTGTGCGCTCCCAGCCCAGAAAGCCAACTTTATCCTGGGCTGCATCAAAAGGAGCGTGACCAGCAGGTCAAAGGAGGTGATCCTGCCCCTCTACTCTGCTCTTGTGAGACCTCACCTGGAGTATTGTGTGCAGTTCTGGTGTCCTCAACATAAAAAGGACATGGAACTGTTGGAACAAGTCCAGAGAAGGGCCACGAGGATGATCAGGGGACTGGAGCACCACCTGTATGAAGACAGGCTGAGAAAGTTGGGGCTGTTCAGCCTGGAGAAGAGAAGGCTGCATGGGGACCTCACAGCAGCCTTCCAGTATCTGAAGGGGGCCTGTAGGGATGCTGGGGGGGGACTCTTCATTAGGGACTGTAGTGATAGGACAAGGGGTAACAGGTTAAAACTTAAACAGGGGAAGTTTAGGTTGGATATAAGGGAGAAGTTCTTTACTGTGAGGGTGGTGAGGCACTGGAATGGGTTGTCCAGGGAGGTTGTGAATGCTTCATCCCTGGCAGTGTTCAAGACCAGGTTGGACGAAGCATTGGGTGACATGGTTTAGTGTGAGATGTCCCTGCCCATGGCAGGGGGGTTGGAACTTGATGATCTTATGGTCCTTTCTAACCCTAACTATCCTATGATTCTATGATTGTTGAATAGCTAAACTGATGATTAAAAAAAGACACAAAAAAATCGTGCAGTTGCCATCGGTGAATAATTTTAGATTATACTAGCATTTTATTTGAGTATTTCTTCAGGATAAAATCTTTCCATCCATTTCTGGCAGTCACTTCAGCACAAATGGTTTACATGTCACATCATGCAGGAACTTGGATTTCATTTTGTTGGTATAGTAGCAAGGGAGCATAAAATAATTTTCACTAACTGGGTTTGCTTTGTAAAAATAAACGTATAAATCAGTTACAGCAACAAAAACAACAACAAAATAATATAGAAATATCCTCTTCCAAAAGGGAACAAGCACTTTCCTGTTTTCTGTCCACTGTTGCATTGTAATTT